CAGGCGTCTGGCTCTAGCCTACCTCTCTCTCACCTCAGGACCTTTGCACATCTTGGCCTGCCAGCAGGAACGCATATCCCAGGCCACCGACACAAAGCAGCCCCTATGTTTTTCTCTCTCAGAAACTCTATTGTCCCCCCTCCCTTAAAAAAATTTTTTTTTGTCAGTCCTGTGGCTTGAACTCTGGGCCTGGGCGCTCACTTCTTCAGCTCAAGGCTGGCGCTCTACCTCCTGAGCCACAGCACCAATTCTGGTTTTCTGGTGGCTTATTGGAGATCAGAGTCTCATGGACTTTCTTGCCGGGGCTGGCTTTGAACCTCGATCCTCAGATCTCAGCCTCCTGAGTAGCTAGGATGACAGGCATGAGCCACCGGTACCCACCTCTCCCCCCCCCTTTTTTTTTGAGACAGGGTCCTGCCATATCACCCCAACTGACCGCAGCCTCACCATGTCCCTAACCTCAGCCTCTCAAAGGGCAGGGATTACAGGCACACACCACCACACGGGACTTCTGTTTTGTTTCTAGAAATTCCCTGGCTGTCTGTCTGGATGGCCGTGGCTTGCCAGAGTTCCCGCTGCAGGTGCCCAAGCCTCGCGGAGTGTGAGGATTTTGTTGGTTTTTAGACTCTCAGTGCCTGGCATGGAAATGCTGGATAACTCCATGCCAGAGGAAGATGGATGGAGGCCCGGGGTCCGGCCTGAGCCCTCTCCAGGCTTAAATCCTAGCCTAGAATCCCTCCCCCAGGAACTCCCCCATCCCCCCCCAACACAGAGCCAACTCTCCATTACCCGCCTACCGAGCCAGTGTCTAGAGTGACCGCAGGAATCCTGGCTCGGGCGGCTCTGCCCGCCACGCTAGCCTGCCACGAGCAGGCATGCCGGCCGGGGAGTGGGCCAGCGGCCTGCGCCAAGGTTAACACACACGAGGGGAGCGCCGTGCCCTGGCCAAGGGCCTGACAGATGCAATTGCTGGCCGCGTCTCAACTTGAGGATGGTCCAGAGGGAGGGTTAGTAAAGCCTGGGCCTAATTCTACACACACACACACACACACACACACACACACACACACACACACACCACTCCACTGTCTAACTGGAGATCTGAGCCCTGGGGGGGGGGGGGGTAAAGAAGGCGTGGCTGGAGGCCGTGGGAATTTCCAGATTCCAGGGGAGATTTTTTAATTTATTGGTTTTCTTTTTTCTTTTCTTTTTTTTTTTAGTTTGCGCAGTCATGGGCCTTGAACTCAGAACCTGGGTGCATTGGAGATCAGAGCCTCACGGACTTTCCTGCCCCCGCTGACTTTGAACCTCGATCCTCACATCTCAGCCTCCTGAGTAGTTAGGATGACCAGGCGTGAGCCGCCAGCGCCTGGCTATTTGTTTTTATTTTGGTTCTTTTTGGGAGTCTTGAGGCTTGAACGCAGGGCCTCATGCTTGCTTGGCAGGTGCTCTATCACTTGCGCCACGCTCCTGGTGGCCCTTTTGTTTTATAGATCGGGACTTGAGCTTTCTCACTCCAGACTGGCCTGGGACCGTGATCCATACCCCAGAGCAACTGAGATTGCAGGCCTGTCCCACCAGGCCTGGTCAGTTCTTTGACCCAAGGGTCTGTCTCTTAAGCTAGATCCTCCTACTGTGCCTCTCCAAAGGCTGGGATTACAGGTGTGAGGCCCAAAGCCTGGCCCCACGTGCAGTTTTGTTGTGGTGACTGTGGTTTAAGCTTGACATTGAGGGCAGGGTCATTCCCTAAGGACCACCACCACCGAGAAGCATCTCCAGCCTCAGCCCACAAGACACCAGCGCCTGGCGGTCCCATAACCATGACAACCAAACACATATATGCCTCTGTCTATGGATCTCCACATAGGACCCAGCGACCCGCTGGGAGGCCCAACTGAGAGGCACTGGGGAGGACGAGGCTGCGGGGAGGGGTGGGGGACGCAAGATGCAGACCAGCTCAAGACGACACCCCCCATGCCCGACCACCCCTCACCCCCCTGGGACCCAGGCAGTCCCAGCGGGCGGCCGTGGCTCCGAGCAGGTGGAGGAGGAGGAGCCCCCAGCACCAGGGATGGGAAGTAGGACTGAGGGTCCCCAGCGTCCCGCTTCCGAGCGCCCCAGATTCGCTGATTTGTGCCGGTCGGCCGGCCGGCCGGTCGTCGCCGGGGACGCGTGGGAGCGACGGTGGCCTCTTTGTCCGCGCGGCTCCTATTTTTAGTGGCGGTGACATTGGCAGAAGGAGGCCACGCAGGGCCTGTGTGGGAGGCTTGGCAGGTGGAGGCTCCTCCTCCGCCCAGGGGGTGCAGACCGCCTGGGGGTGCCACACAGAGTGGCCGAGGGTCGCTCCTTGGCCTCTGATCTTGGGGATCCCCGAGGAGGCCATATGCAGATCAGACGTATCCATAATGAACTTGAACCCTCCCCCCCACACACAGCAACCGAGAATCCGAAGGCCTGAGAGCCCAGGAGACATAAGTTCGAAGTTCGGTGCGGTGACTTGAAGGCCTGGCCCTCTGAGGACCGGGCGCTGGCCAGTGGTGGGTGCAGGGAGTTATAGGACATGTTCGATCCTGAGGGACGGCGGCGGTGGGAGGAAAGAAGGTAGGACTTCCGGGGGGGGGGGGTGCGGGGAGCGCTGTGGGAATTGGCTCCTTGGGGTGGAGGCTGGACTCCGAGCCGCGGCTTGCTATCCTCCAGCCCCAGCTGGGAGCCTCATGAGGGCCAAAAATGACAGCTCGTTCGTCCCCCATCCCCCCCACGAGGTCAGACACGCACCAGACCGTTCATCGAGCCGCAAGGAGTCACGTCAAAGCCCCCTGCCCCCCCCAAGGCTCTGCTCTATGAGGGGAGGGGCTAGCTCAGAAGCCAGGGCTGGACCCGGTGGGAGGGGGGACCTCAGGGGCAGTCCAAGGGAATCTCTGGGGGCCTAGGAGGGTGGAGAGTGGGGGCCAGCAGGAGAAGAGCCGGGGACGCTGAGCAGACACAGGGTCCCAGGGCCCGGCCCACCTCCAGCCTCTGGGCTGAAACGCTGCCCTGAACACCTCCCCTCCCCCCATCCTCACCAGAGCTCAGCAAACCATCAGGGGCGGGGCTTGAACCCCCTCATCCCAGCCTGTAACACAGAAAGCCCAAGTCCTAGCTGGCACCCCCCCCCCCGCTCCTCTCCCCAGACCGGGGTGTCTGATGGGTGGGAGAAAGGGTACCCAGGCCTGCAGACTCACACCTGCCAGGGACTCTGGATCCTGAGCCCATTCCGTTCAATTCCCCAAGCCCTACCCCGCCCCCCCCAGCTGGCTGTGTGGCCTGCACACTGGACCTTCAGGAAGGGACAGCTCTCCCCTTACTGCTCCTTTCCACTGCTGCCCATTACTTGAGATGCCCTCAGTCACCACAGGACCTTTGCACATGCCGTGCCACTCCTGCCTCTTCTGCTCCTTACCCCCTATCCTACTTCCCGGTGCCCAGCCCACATGGTGGGGTCTAGGCATCAGGGATGGCGTGGACTGAGTCAAGAGTCCTGAAGGAGCCAGGCACCAGTGGCTCACGTCTGTAATCCCGGCACCTCAGGAGGCTGAGATCTGAGGATCACAGTTCAAAACCAGCCGGGCAGGAAAGTCTGTGAGACTCTTATCTCTAATCAACCAGCACAAAAGCCAGAAGTGGAATTGTGGCTCAAGAGGTAGAGTTACCAGCCTTGAGAGATAGGCCAGAGTGTGGAACTGAGTTCAAGCCCCAGAACTGGCCCACACACACACACACACACACACACCACAGAGGCACCACAGAAAGAAAGAGAGGCGGGGGGGAGAAAAAAAATAAAAATTTAAAAAAGAAAAGGGAGCCAGGCGCAGGAGGCTCCCGCCTGTCATCCTAGCTGCTCAGGAGGCTGAGATCTGAGGATCACGGTTCAAAGCCAGCCCAGGCAGGAAAGTCTGTGAGACTTTCATCCCCAATCAACCATCAAAAAGCCAGAAGTGGTGCTGTGGCTCGAGTGGTAGAGCTCCAGCCTTGAGGGAAAAAGCCCAGGGAGAGTTCAAGGCCCTAAGTTCAAGCACCAGTACCCACAACTGAGAATAAATAAAGAGGTAAGGGCTGCCAACACTTTCTACTGACCGATCTGGGGCTTGGGGTCACGGGTTACACGCACATGCACACGCACACACACGCACAGGACCTCATTTTCCTCATCTTTAACACAAGGTGCTAATAGCCAAGGCTATCCCACAGGTTCTTCTCAGGACACGAGCTGGTCACATTTGGGCCAAGGGGATGAAGGAAGAGGTTCTCACACCCCAGGGCCTTTGCACTTGCCGTTCCCACCCCTCAGATGCCAAGCTTCTCGGGCGCTGTCCGGCCCCCGCCCGGCATCACTCCCGGCATTCAGCTCTAGTATGGCACAGCTCCTGTCACACTGCCCGCCTCTTCGAGAATGCCAGGCCTGGGGGGAGGGGCGCACACGTTCGCCTCTCTCACTTAAGGGCCATTTTCTCAGCATCTAGAACGCAGCCGGGCACACAGTAGGCGCTCAGTCTCAAATGAGCCAAGTAACCCGTCTTGAGGTGTGGACAGCACAGCGCGGGGGAAACTGAGACAGAACAGGGGAGCAGGTGTTCCCAGTCCCCCCCTTGCCACTAGAGGGCACAAGCCGACTTAGCCTAGGGCCCAGGAGCTGAGGGATGAACTGCTGGGAGTGGGGGACACTTGGGGAAAAGGGGAGCCAGGGACAGAGAGGCAGAGGTGGGTGATGGGACATCTAGATGCAGTCAGTGAGGAACTGAGGGGAAGCCACCATAGCACCTTGAGTTTGCGTCCCTGCTCCCCGCTGGGAGCCTTGGGTGAGGTCACTGCTCACCACGGTACGCGGAGGAACGAAGCCCAGAACCCGGGGAAGGCTCCGGATGCACACAGGAATCAGAACCCATCTACGGCCCCCGCTGGGCCCTCTGAGCCTGGGGAACAAGGCCGGGCCCCGCTCGAAGCCACCAGAGCCACCCTCTTACCAGACACACCACCTCTGCCATCTAGAGCGTCCTGGGAACCCTCCTTGGCGACAGGTAGATAATGCGTGGACCGGAAGATGTCCCCTTCTCCCTCAGCAGCCTCGGCCCCGCCATCGATGTCCTCCCCGGGGGCCGGGCCCGGCAGCCTCTCGAGGACTCGAGGACCGTCGCAGGGGGACAGGCTGCCCGGGAGGGGAGCCTCCATGGGTGCACCTCAGGGCCGGGCTGGCTCAGTGGCACATCGCGGGTCTAGGTACAGAAAGGAGAAGGGGCTTAGGGGGAGGCAGGGACCTGGGGGCTCCTCGCTCCGCACCCTGGCTCACGGCCTACGCTCCCGGCTACTCAGGAGGCTGAGATCCGAGGATCGCCATTCAAAGCCAGCCTGGGCAGGACAGTCTGGGAGACTCCCATCTCCAAGGAACCAGCAGACAAGCCCACCGTGAGCGGAGCCGTGGCTCAAGCGGTAGGGCACCCAGCCTTGAGTGAAAAAGCTCCGGGGACCGCAGCCCAGGCCGTGAGTTCAAACACACAGAGCGCTCCCAGCTCCCAGCACCACACAAAACCCAGCCCTGACCCCCGGGCGGCTCACTCCCTCAGTTTACCTCCCTGTCCAATAGTAACAAAGGCCCTGGCCACACACCATTCCATCCTAACCGGGAGACACCAGCTTCCCTCCCAGTAACTAACTCCTCCCGGTACCCAGACCCTCTGTGCCTCAGTTTACCCCCCCTGGAACCCCCTCCATCATCCCTCCCACCGCTCGTCTCCACGCTGCCTCGACCTCCCCCCCGGCTCCCCCCGGC